AGAATAACAACAACAAAATCAAGAAAAACGCACGTCAAAATTTGTATAAATTGATTTGCATTTTAATGAGGGAAATAAGTATTTGACCCCCTCTCAATCAAAAAGATTTCTGGCTCCCAGGTGTCTTTCATACAGGTAACGAGCTGAGATTAGGAGCACACTCTTAAAGGGAGTAATCCTAATCTCAGCTTGTTACCTGTATAAAAGACACCTGTCCACAGAAGCAATCAATCAATCAGCTCTCCAAGGATGTCAGGGACAAGATTGTAGACTTACACAAGGCTGGAATGGGCTACAAGACCATTGCCAAGCAGCTTGGTGAGAAGGTGACAACAGTTGGTGTGATTATTCGCAAATGGAAGAAACACAAAATAACTGTTAATCTCCCTCGGCCTCGGGCTCCATGCAAGATCTCACCTCGTGGAGTTGCAATGATCATGAGAACGGTGAGGAATCAGCCCAGAACTACACGGGAGGATCTTGTCAATAATCTCAAGGCAGCTGGGACCATAGTCACCAAGAGAACAATTGGTAACACACTACGCCGTGAAGGACTGAAATCCTGCAGCACCCGCAAGGTCCCCCTGCTCAAGAAAGCACATATACATGCCGGTCTGAAGTATGCCAATGAACATCTGAATGATTCAGAGGACAACTGGGTGAAAGTGTTGTGGTCAGATGAGACCAAAATGGAGCTCTTTGGCATCAACTCAACTCGCCGTGTTTGGAGGAGGAATGCTGCCTGTGACCCCAATAACACCATCCCCAGCGTTAAACATGGAGGTGGAAACATTATGCTTTGGGATGTTTTTCTGCTAAGGGGGCAGGACAACTTCATCGCATTAAAGGGACGATGGACGGGGCCATGTACCGTCAAATCTTGGGTGAGAACCTCTTTCCCTCAGCCAGGGCATTGAAAATGGTTCGTGGATGGGTATTCCAGCATGACAATGACCCAAAACACACGGCCAATGCAACAAAAATGAGTGGCTCAAGAAGAAGCACATTAAGGTCCTGGAGTGGCCTAGCCAGTCTCCAGACCTTAATCCCATAGAAAATCTGTGGAGGGAGCTGAAGGTTCGAGTTGCCAAACGTCAGCCTCGAAACCTTAATGACTTGGAGAAGATCTGCAAAGAGGAGTGGGACAAAATCCCTCCTGAGATGTGTGCAAACCTGGTGGCCAACTACAAGAAACGTCTGACTTCTATGATTGCCAACAAGGGTTTTGCCACCAAGTACTAAGTCATGTTTTGCAGATGGGTCAAATACTTATTTCCCTCATTAAAATGCCAATCAATTTATAACATTTTCGACATGCGTTTTTTCTGGATTTTGTTGTTGTTATTCTGTCTCTCACTGTTAAAATAAACCTACCATTAAAATTATAGACTGATCATTTCTTTGTCAGTGGGCAAACGTACAAAATCAGCAGGGGATCAAATACTTATTTCCCTCACTGTATATGATGAGGTGTGTATGTGAGTATGTCTGTGGTGAGTGAGTGGTGAGCGAGTGGTGAGTGTACACACACACACCGTATATGGTGATGCGTGTATGTCTGCGGTGAGTGAGTGGTGAGCGAGTGGTGAGTGTACACACACACCGTATATGATGAGGTGTGTATGTCTGTGATGAGTGAGTGGTGAGCGAGTGGTGAGTGTACACACACACCGTATATGATGAGGCGTGTATGTCTGCGGTGAGTGGTGAGCGAGTGGTGAGTGTACACACACACCATATATGGTGATGCGTGTGTGTCTGCCGTGAGTGAGTGGTGAGCGAGTGGTGAGTGTACACACACACCGCATATGATGAGGCGTGTATGTCTGCGGTGAGTGAGTGGTGAGCGAGTGGTGAGTGTACACACACACCGTATATGATGAGGCGTGTATGTCTCCGGTGAGTGAGTGGTGAGTGTACACGCACACCCTATATGATGAGGCGTGTATGTCTGCGGTGAGTGAGTGGTGAGTGTACACACACCGTATATGGTGATGCGTGTATGTCTGCGGTGAGTGAGTGGTGAGCGAGTGGTGAGTGTACACACACACCGTACAGTGAGGGAAAAAAGTATTTCATACCCTGCTGATTTTGTACGTTTGCCCACTGACAAAGAAATGATTAGTCTATAATTTTAATGGAAGGTTTATTTGAACAGTGAGAGACAGAATAATAACAAAAAAATGCAGAGAAACGCATGTCAAAAATGTTATAAATTGATTTGCATTTTAAGGAGGGAAATAAGTATTTAACCCCCCCTCTATCAGAAAGATTTCTGGCTCCCAGGTGTCTTTTATACAGGTAACGAGCTGAGATTAGGTGCACACTCTTAAAGGGAGTGATCCTAATCTCAGCTTGTTACCTATATAAAAGACACCTGTCCACAGAAGCAATCAATCAATCATATTCCAAACTCTCCACTATGGCAAAGACGAAAGAGCTCTCCAAGGATGTTAGGGACAAGATTGTAGACCTACACAAGGCTGGAATGGGCTACAAGACCATTGCCAAGCAGCTTGGTGAGAAGGTGACAACAGTTGGTGCGATTATTCGCAAATGGAAGAAACACAAAAGAACTGTCAATCTTCCTCGGCCTCGCGCTCCATGCAAGATCTCACCTCGTGGAGTTGCAATGATCATGAAAACGGTGAGGAATCAGCCCAGAACTACACGGGAGGATCTTGTCAATGATCTCAAGGCAGCTGGGACCATAGTCACCAAGAGAACAATTGGTAACACACTACGCCGTGAAGGACTGAAATCCTGCAGCGCCCGCAAGGTCCCCCTGCTCAAGAAAGCACATATACATGCCCGTCTGAAGTTTGCTAATGAACATCTGAATGATTCAGAGGACAACTGGGTGAAAGTGTTGTGGTCAGATGAGACCAAAATGGAGCTCTTTGGCATCAACTCAACTCGCCGCGTTTGGAGGAGAAGGAATGCTGCCTGTGACCCCAATAACACCATCCCCACCGTCAAACATGGAGGGGGAAACATTATGCTTTGGGGGTGTTTTTCTGCTAAGGGGGCAGGACAAATTCACCGCATCAAAAGGACGATGGACGGGGCCATGTACCGTCAAATCTTGGGTGAGAACCTCCTTCCCTCAGCCAGGGGATTGAAAATGGTTCGTGGATGGGTATTCCAGCATGACAATGACCCAAAACACACGGCCAATGCAACAAAGGAATGGCTCAAGAAGAAGCACATTAAGGTCCTGGAGTGGCCTAGCCAGTCTCCAGACCTTAATCCCATAGAAAATCTGTGGAGGGAGCTGAAGGTTCGAGTTGCCAAACGTCAGCCTCGAAACCTTCATGACTTGGAGAAGATCTGCAAAGAGGAGTGGGACAAAATCCTTCCTGAAATGTGTGCAAACCTGGTGGCCAACTACAATAAACGTCTGACCTCTGTGATTGCCAACAAGGGATTTGCCACCAAGTTTTAAGTCATGTTTTGCAGAGGGGTCAAATACTTATTTCCCTCATTAAAATGCCAATAAATTTATAACATTTTTGACATGCGTTTTTCTGGATTTTGTTGTTGTTATTCTGTCTCTCACTGTTCAAATAAACCTACCATTAAAATTATAGACTGATCATTTCTTTGTCAGTGGGCAAACGTACAAAATTAGCAGGGGACCCTCACTGTATATGATGAGATGTGTATGTGAGTATGTCTGTGGTGAGTGAGTGGTGAGCGAGTGGTGAGTGTACACGCACCGTATATGATGAGGCGTGTATGTCTGTGGTGAGTGAGTGGTGAGCGAGTGGTGAGCGAGTGGTGAGTGTACACACACACCGTATATGATGAGGCGTGTATGTCTGCGGTGAGTGGTGAGTGAGTGGTGAGTGAGTGGTGAGCGAGTGGTGAGTGTACACACACACCGTATATGATGAAGCGTGTGTGTCTGTGGTGAGTGAGTGGTGAGTGAGTGGTGAGTGAGTGAGTGGTGAGTGAATGTGTGGTGAGTGAGTGGTGAGTGAGTGAGTGGTGAGTGAGTGAGTGGTGAGTGGTGAGTGAGTGGTGAGTGAGTGAGTGGTGAGTGAGTGAGTGGTGAGTGAGTGAGTGGTGAGTGAGTGTTGAGTGAGTGGTGAGTGAGTGAGTGAATGGTGAGTGAGTGATGAGTGAGTGAGTGAGTGGTGAGTGAGTGGTGAGTGAGTGAGTGGTGAGTGAGTGAGTGGTGAGTGAGTTAGTGGTGAGTGGTGAGTGAGTGGTGAGTGAGTGAGTGGTGAGTGAGTGTTGAGTGAGTGAGTGGTGAGTGAGTGGTGAGTGAGTGAGTGGTGAGTGGTGAGTGAGTGGTGAGTGGTGTGTGGTGAGTGAGTGAGTGGTGAGTGAGTGGTGAGTGAGTGAGTGGTGAGTGAGTGAGTGGTGAGTGTACACACACAGACCGTATATGATGAGGCGTGTGTGTCTGTGGTGAGTGAGTGGTGAGTGAGTGGTGAGTGAGTGAGTGGTGAGTGAATGTGTGGTGAGTGAGTGGTGAGTGAGTGAGTGGTGAGTGAGTGAGTGAGTGGTGAGTGAGTGAGTGGTGAGTGGTGAGTGAGTGAGTGGTGAGTGAGTGAGTGGTGAGTGAGTGTTGAGTGAGTGAGTGGTGAGTGAGTGAGTGAGTGAATGGTGAGTGAGTGAGTGGTGAGTGGTGAGTGAGTGGTGAGTGAGTGAGTGGTGAGTGAGTGTTGAGTGAGTGAGTGAGTGGTGAGTGAGTGAGTGAGTGGTGAGTGAGTGAGTGAGTGGTGAGTGAGTGAGTGGTGAGTGGTGAGTGAGTGGTGAGTGGTGAGTGAGTGAGTGGTGAGTGAGTGGTGAGTGAGTGGTGAGTGAGTGAGTGGTGAGTGAGTGGTGAGTGAGTGGTGAGTGAGTGGTCTGTGGTGAGTGAGTGGTGAGTGAGTGGTGAGTGTACACACACACACTGTATATGATGAGGCGTGTGTGTCTGTGGTGAGTGAGTGGTGAGTGAGTGAGTGGTGAGTGAGTGAGTGGTGAGTGGTGAGTGTACACACACACACCGTAGATGATGAGGCGTGTGTGGATGTCGGTGGCCCCCAGGGCGTTCTGGGCCGAGCAGCGGAACATGGTGCCGTTGAGCGCTGCCCCCGCCTTGTCCAGCAGCAGCCGCGGCCCCTCGCTGTGCGGCCCGCCCGTCAGGCAGGGGGCCCCCCACGCGCGTCCACCTGTACAGCGGCTCGGGGAACACCTCGCTCTGGGGGGGGGGGGGTACGGGGGGGGCACGGGGGTGGGGGGGGCACACGGGGAGGGGCGCCATGGGGGGTGGGTGTGGGGGGCCATCGAGAGTGGGAATACGGGGGGGTGGGCCATGAGGTGGGCCATGGGGAGGGGGGCACGGGGATGGAGGACACGGGGGGGGGGGCACACGTGGGAGAGGGGGTACACGGGGGAGGGGGGGCCATGGGGGGAGGGGGTGATACAGGTCACAAAGGGACTGGAGCTAAATCACAGCGGTGTTTTAATATTTGAATCAGTCCTAGGCGTCCCCTAGGTCGAGTCAAGAGTTAAATGAGTAGTGTGCTTTGGTGCGGTATGCACACATCGGCACACGAGGAGACTAAACTACAGCGTAGCTCTTGTTTTTATTTGACCAGGTAAGGCCCCTTCAGCTATGCATCTTTTTTTCAGAAGCAGCCTGGCTGCAAATGACAACTGAAGCAAGGGGCTCATCATCATCATCGTCATCATCATCATATGGACAATCATAGCGGCCAAATTGAGGACCCGGAGCTAAATCCACGCGACAACGGGGAGGGAGAGAGAGAGAGAGACACCGCAAACTACAAATATACAGCAGGAGCAGCAGCAGGCGTCAGGGTTGGGAACGAACCCACGACATCCTGTATACCAGGCGAGGTAGTTAACATCTCATAGCCACCGTGATGATGATGAGAGAGAGAGACACCGCAAACTACAAATACACAGCAGCAGCAGCAGGTGTCAGGGTCGGGAACGAACCCACGACCTCCTGCCTACCAGGCGAGGTAGTTAACATCTCATAGCCACCGTTGGAGACAAAGGCGGCCGGGGCATGGTTGGTGGTCACACGATCGCCTCTTGCGCCTTCAGAGGTGCTCTCAAACGGCGCTTGCCCACAACAATTTGTTGGGGGCTGCTTGGGGGATGTTTGTGACGGGTGGGGGGGGCAAAATTTAAAACAGGCGACGTTCCGGGCAACGGCCCTTTTTCACGACACACAAACAGCACCGTGATGGGATGGCAATCGGGCGAATCGTCGCCCGTTGCGTATTTTATAGACCCCCCCCCCCCCACGTCACCACGGAGAGGCGATGTGGACGAGCGTGCTGGACGTCGGCACGGGCGAGTGGTGAGAAGGGAGCGACGCTTACCTGGAAGTCGACGCTGAACCGCACCGTGTGTCCCACCAGCGGTCTCCGTGGGAGGATGTCGATCCGCAGGCCCTTGGGGGCGGCTGGGGGGAGACAACAACGGAGGGAACGCGGCCCCCACCACGTCGCACGCTCCACGCGGGTACGGTGTCGCTTAGTAACGGTGGGTGGGTGGGCAGGTGGGTGGGCAGGTGGGTGGGCAAGCGAGTGGGTGGGTGAGTGAGTGAGTGGGTGAGTGGGTGAGTGGGTGGGTGGGTGAGTGCGTGGGTGAGTGTGGTGGTTGAGCGAGTGGGCGGGTGAGTGGGTGGGTGGGCGGGTGAGTGGGTGGGTGGGCGGGTGAGTGGGTGAGTGAGCGGGTGAGTTAGTGGGTGAGTGGGTAAATGAGCGAGTGGGTGAGCGGATGGGTGAGCGGGTGGGTGAGCGGGTAAATGAGCGAGTGGGTGAGTGAGTGGGTGGGTGGGTGAGTGTAGTGCGTGAACGAGTGGGTGAGCAGGTGGGTGAGTAGGTGGGTGGGTGAGTGGGTGGGTGGGTGAGCGAGTGGGTGAGTCAGTGAGTGGGCGAGTGGGTGAGCGATTGGGTGGCTCAGCAAATGGGTGAGTGGGTGGGTGAATGAGCAGGTGGGTGAGTGAGTGGGTGGGTGGGCGGATGGGTGAGCGACTGGGTGGCTGGGCGAGTGGGTGTGTGAGTGGGTGAGTGGTTGAGTGAGTGGGTGGATGGGTGTGCGAGTAAGGTAGGTGAGCGAGTGGGTGGGTGGTTGAGTGAGTGTGTGAGTGGGTGGGTGAGCAAGTAGGGTGGGTGAGCGAGATTATGAGTGAGTCGGTGAGTTCAAATTGATTTTGTTCAACCGGGCGAGACCTCGGGAGACAGGATAGGAGTGTAATTTGTAATGGTGAGTGGGTGAGCGAGTGGGTGAGTGTGTGAGTGAATGTATGAGTGATTGGATGATTGGGTGGGTAATGATTCAGATGATGAGTGAGTGCAAACTCAGGACAGTAGCGATAAAAGCAATAACACAATGAATTGAAACCAGATGGAAAAAAAACCCATGTACAGGTACAACAACAAATAACAACTGCAATTCGCCATGAACCCGTCCAGTGGTCCAGACTGTTGTTATGATGTCATATAGGGCAGTCTTTGCACAAACGCCACCCTCCCTCAGCATTTCGCTTGGGAGATCATCTCTGCCCGCTGCCTTTCCTGGTCTTAGACTCCGGATCGCCTTCAGTACTTCCTCAACAGATGGCACCTCAGCCAGCCACTCACAGGGGGTGACTTCTTCTAATATTTGAGGCACCGCAGCCTCAGCAGGGTCATCCTCACTTTGTGCCACGATGTTTTCCGGGTAAGGGATTTTCCCTCCCCCAGGACCTCACAGAAATGCTCAGCAAATCTGCGAACCTGTTCCTGGGGGTCAGAGATTGGGTCACCGTTTTTTCCCCTAATGATGGTAATAGGTGTGGCACTGCAGATTACTTTTTTGATGGAGTTAAATAGAGATTTGTGATCACGGGCCACTGAGGCAGACTCCATCTCCTCAGCAACCCGCGACCACCACCCATCCTTGCAGCGCCTAACGGCTCTCCGAACCTCCGAGCGAAGGCTGCGGTAAGCCTCCTCATTCTCTGACGTGGGATTCTGTAGCCGATGACAGTGGGCCTGTCGCTTTTTCTCAACCATCCTGAACACCTCCTCTGTCAGCCAGGGTCTCTGGGGAGGTCTGGACCGCGTACCCAAAGCAGCCATTGCAGCTGCATGAGTCACAGTCCTAAACCTCGCCCATTTACCCTCGACATCAAGAGGAGTCGGGGACGATGCCAATCCCAGCCGCAAGCGATGATGAAATTCTCGCTTGCAACTTTCATCAGATAACTGAGACTAGGCCACTTTAGGTTGGAATGGGGTCCTGGGTGTACACCCACCACCGGAATGGAAGAATGGCAGGCGCATCTTACAGATGACTAGTCGATGGTCAGAGGGCAGATCAGCTCCACGGTAGGTCCTGGTGGCAAGGACATGGGCTCGCATCCGCTGGTCCGTCACTATGTAGTCCAGCAGATGTTATTGCTTGGACCCGGCATGCATCCATGATGTTGTGTGGATGCGCCGATGCCGGAACAGCGTGTTGGTAATTACAAGCCCATGGGCTGCACAAAAATCTAGCAGCCTCCTACCGTTGTTATTGAGCTGATCTGGCCCATGCCCTCCAATCACTCCAGACCAGGTGCCAGTAACATGACCAACTCGGGCATTGAAGTCACCCAACATGATGACTCTATCCCGAAGGGCCACTTTAGCCAGCACCTGTGACAGGAGGTCATAGAAGGCATCTGACTCATCGGCTTTGCCTGCATCCCTCCACGGATGTTCATCTTCGGTGGGGCATAAAATGTCCCCACACACACACACGTGTACACACACACATATACACACACACGTGTACACTGTGAGTGAGTAGCGCCTCTAAAAAAGCCGAAATGGCTCAACAGGGCCTGGTGTGGCCACCACCACGCCCGGCCGCCTTTGTCTCCCCCCTGCTGATGTTACTACACACTGCATAAACTACTTATTTAAGGCTGAGTCGACCTAGGGGAGTCCCAGGACCGTTTAAAATAATAGCCACACGTGGACATCCACAAATGTGCACGTGTGGTGTGTACAGACGCATACGTGTGTACACATAAGCATGTGTACACACGCATGGCCCTGCTGTCATTCCACACATAAGCATGTGTACACACGCATGGCCCTGCTGTCATTCCACACATAAGCATGTGTACACACGCATGGCCCTGCTGTCATTCCACTGCCGGACGAGGGCCTCCCCAGGGCAGTGTGGGGCGAGCAGCGTCAATCGACCATACTTCACCGTGCTGGGTCAGCGTAGGGCCGGTAAAGGCCGGGAGCTCGGTAACTTCCGGGAAATCGGAGCGCAGAAGTACAGCGCAACACACCGGACTCTGTTGCACTTGGCCTCTGCGGTCCCCGGCAGCGTAGCGCAGCGGCCTATAGCGCCTGGTAGGCACGCTGCGAGCACTGTCAGGGCGAAACCCAGCGGCAAGATCGTCCCAGGCGTTGTGCCGTACTTGTGCGGTCCCACGGCCACGCTCCCCCGCCGTCGCGGGCGACCGGCGCCATAAAATACGGTCGCTCGGCGCGCGTGTCACCACCACCCCCCCCCCCCTCCACTGGGCTCCCCCCCCCCCCCACCGAACCCCCCCCCGCCGATTCCCCCTTCACCGTGCCCCCCCCCGCCCCCGCCGTGTCCTCACTCAGGGTGCGCTCGAGCTGCATGGCCATGGACAGCGCTGGGTGCTGAACCTCGCAGCTGAAGAGTGCGAGGTCGTCCAGCGTAGGGCTCAGCAGCCAGGTGAGGCGCGCACGCACCTCCACCGTGCCGTCGCTCACCTGCACGCTCACAAACACACCGCCGCTCTGTGACTACACCGTGACTACACCGTGACTACACTCATACTACACCTTGACTGTACCCATACTACACCGTGACTACACTCATACTACACCTTGACTGTACCCATACTACACCGTGACTACACCGTGACTACACTCATACTACACCTTGACTGTACCCATACTACACCGTGACTACACTCATACTACACCTTGACTGTACCCATACTACACCGTGACTACACTCATACTACACCTTGACTGTACCCATACTACACCGTGACTACACCAATACATAACGATAACTACACCATGTCTACATCGTGACTACTCATACTACACCGTGACTACACCGTGACTACACCTTGACTGTACCCATACTACACCGTGACTACACTTATACCACACCTTGACTGTACCCATATTACACCGTGACTATACCTTGACTACACTCATACTACACCTTGACTGTACCCATACTACACCGTGACTACACCCATACTAAATAATAACTACACCATGTCTACATCGTGACTACTCATACTGCGCCGTGACTACACCGTGACTACACCGTGACTACACACACAAAGCACCTCCACCTTGCTGCCGCTTACCTGCACAGCCACACGCACCACCACTCCGTGACTACACCGTGACTACACCGTGACTACACTCACTCTACACCGTGACTCGCGAGTGACGGGGGCGCGAGCGCGCGTCTGTGCAACTCACAGGAACCTCGCCCTGGTGCAGAAAGTACACCGGCTCCTCGTGCAGAGACACCACCAGGCGGGGCCGCGACCCCTTGGGAGTCTGGGTGGGGTCAGGAGTCAGGAGGGCGCGGGGGTCACAGGGGTCACAGAGTAAACATCGGCCAATCGGCTGCACGACGTGGTATGCACCCAAGGGGTCGCCGGCTCTCACCGAATGTTTCTCGGGTCGCCGGTTTGTACCGGCGTAGGCGGTACACAATCAGCAGCCACGGCCAGAGGGCTACTGGAGAGTGGCGTGCCGGGTGCGGAAACATTTTTCCAAGTCACTTGCCGAGAGAGACTCGGCTGAATTGATGGTTAGGACTAGTGTTAGGGTTAGGGTGTGGAGCCAGGATTTGGGCAATAACTATAATACTCTTTGGTTCTTTCGGTAAAGTCACGTAGGTATAAAATAAAATAAATCACGATGTTTCGATCGCAACACAAGCGGTCGTTCTCAGGCGGGAAAATTTGAAATCCAGCAGTGGAACTGCTGAACCAGCGAGAGAGCAGCTACAACAAGGCTGAGTAAGAGGACTACGTTGGGGTGTTTATGAGTGAGACGTTTCAGCCGATTGACGATCTTGAGTCGTTGTGTTTATTATCCACGTGGGGGGAGGAGGAAAGCGGAGGACCCGGAGACGACCCCACGCCTCGCGCGAGGGAGCAACACTCGACCCCACTGCCATCACTGCCGCCACCACCACCAACACCAACACCACCACTATCGCCACCATCACCACCGCCATCATCGCCACCGCCACCACCACCGCTACCATCACCACCACCACCACCACCATCACCACCACCACCGCCATCACCATCACCGCCATCATCGCCATCGCCACCAGCGCCACCACCATCACCACCCGGCTCTTTACGAGCACTGGAGGGGCTCTTGAAGTTTCCCTCGCGGACTCCCTTTCGCCACTGACTAGTTCGAGCGTGGAAACTGCAGGGCTGCGTCTTTACCACCTCATAACTAACACCTGGATTTAAAGCGGCTTCTCAAGCCGAGCTAGCTGAGGGTGCCAACAGCCATTATGAACCTCCCCGAAATAAAGAGAGAGCGAGAGGGAGACACGCGCACACACACAGACACCCACCCCTAGCCTCAGGCCTTTAACCTTCAAACCACAGAGCCGGCGTTTGTCAGCTCCTGGCCCGTCTTGCCGTTACGAGGCCACAAAACCTCCCGGCAACGTCTTTACAACGCGCGAGGAGTGACGCGCACACGCTGGCGGTTAACGCGCCGGGGGATTTACGGGCTGGGCTCCTCTAAATCTCCACCTCCCCCGCACCCCCCACCCCGCGCCAACGGCCCCCCCATGAACTCGGTCGCATCCCAGCCTCGTCTGTGCAACTTGACTTGAGAAATGTTAGACAAATACGAATTGGTGATCAGCGGAGAAATTACAATACTTATTTCATTACTCTTTGGTTCTTTCGGTAAAGTCACGTAGAAAGAAAATAAATTAAATAATAGCATACGACGTTTCGATTGCAACACAAGCAATCGTCATCAGGTAGAACTCAATTTCAGAGAGAGACAAAGCACAGACACGGAGGCACACAGACAGACACACAAGCAGAGAGAGAGACAACACAGAGACACACAGGGAGAGACACACACCATAGACACACAGAGACCCAATTCCTCTGTGTCGAGGCCTTAAATAAAGAGGGGGGGGGGCAGAGAGAGAGGTGGGTCTGCTGGAGCAGAGAAATTAGAATGTGAATGAAAAACCCAACAAGACTGGTACATTTTAGAGAGAGTTGTGTGGAAATCCACCCCGAAGCGACCGAAGAAGAGAAAGAGCGAATGGACCTATGAGAGCCTGGTACATTTTAGAGAGAGAGAGAAATAGACAGTAAAACTAAATTAAGCATTTTTTTTTGGAAATGTAATGCAATGCAACACAGAGAGTCGGCTAACACACAGTTAACGCATAGCCTGGTTGATTACGATCTCCAAAGATTGCTATTTCATTATACACTATGTCCCACCCTCCCCTCTGCACTCCGCCTCCCCGCCGGGGCCCTCCCCCCCCCCTCCCCCCCCCCTCCCCCGGTTTGTCTTTTAGTGTCAATCTGATTCCTAAATCATAGCACTCACAAAGAAGAGTGATTTTTTTCCATGCTATTTTTTATAGGATTTATTTGCCAAGCTGAGTCCCAGCGCCGACGACGGCGGCAGGCGGCGTTGCCGCTTGGCGCGGGGTCGTACGCCGTCGACATCACAAAGGCTCCCCCCCCGTGCCAGCGTCGTTGATCGCAATGGGACCTTTTTGCCAGTATCAAAAAAAGTCCCATTTTGTGGCTGCTCACCCTGAGCTATGAATGCCCTGATGGTGCATTCATTGTAATGTTGAACACGTAGGAGGCTTTTGCGATCAATATCATCCCTAAGAGAGGTTTTTTTTGGGTTGGATCACGTAAATATATAAATGTGTCGTTAAACCTGCCACCACTCGACACAGCCAATTAGTAAGGTCAGAACATTCCAGTTCGTTACTAGTACTACCAGTAACGAGCTGGCACTAGTAACAAAACAGAATTTCATGTTCTGTTTACGTGACAAACCTTAATAATTGGTTGCCGGGTGGTGGCGGGTTTAACGACACATTCATATTTATGCGATCTAACCCAGAAAAACCTGCATTGTCTTTGTACCGTTCGCCTTTTGGCGCTGTTCTCTGGTCTGACACTGGTGAGACTAGGCCCTAAAGAAGGCTGTTGTCTCTGGTGTAGGGTTATCAGTTTCAAAGACAATGCATATATAATTATCAGGGCGTGTTTGATTGCATGTTCACCACAAGTACTGTGTGTGTGGTGAATGCAGGAACTTGATGCCTTGCAAAAAGTTTCTATTTGGTGTTTGAACATCTTAACATTGCCAGAAAGAGTAACAAACCTATTCTTATTTTTTCATACGTCGTTCATCGTCACTACGCTTCTTCATCCCCGTTCCTGCGCTTCACGACACGGGGGTCCGTGCTCGTATGCTGCAGCGTGCTGGCGGACGAGCGGCAGGGCTCACGATGGCCGTGTCGAACCAATTCCAACGAAGAATCAAAGCTCTGATTGGCCTGCTTATCCCACTCTCTCTCTCTCTCTCAGGGGGTTCATAATGGCCCTGTCAGAGACACCGAACCAATTTCACGAAGGATGAAATCTCTCACTGGCCTGCGTGTCTCTCTTTCTCTCTCAGGGGGTTCATAATGGTCTTGTCGGAGACACCAAACCAATTCCACGAACAAACCTCTCACTGGCCTGCGTGTCTCTCTCTCTCTCTCTGTCTCAGGGGGCTCATAATGGCCGTGTCGGAGCCGGCGGGCCAGCAGTGCCGAGATATTTGTGCTGTTCAAGCCGCCTGACACGCCGAGCAAAAGAAACGGTCGTGTGGGGTCGAGAAGCGGGTCCACGATCGCTTCAGCTCCGACTCGCTCACTCAGCCGGAGCGCCACTCTCACCACCACGTCGAGCGGTGATCAAATCAGATTGTCGACGTTGACGCTTGAAACCGCATCAAGCGTCGTCAGTTCCAGACCCGAGAAGTCAGAAACCTCGCGAGCTGTGTATGCAACTTCTCGATTTGACTGTGAAAGTTGCCGTTCAATTTTATTCTTAAAAAGTTTTTTTTTATTCTACCAGGTAAGGCCCACTGGGCTGCAATGTATAACTCCTTTTTCAGAAGCGACCTGGCTATTACAAATGGATAGCTCAACGAAGTTCGCTTATCGTGTAGAAATGTATAGCGCCCAAATACTCTAAACGCGTGGCGTTGATTCTAAAAGTGGAAGGAAAAGCCGGAGGACCCGGAGAAAAATCCACTCGACCACGGAGAGAGAGGGAAACCGCAAACTCCGAATATACAGAATACGCGTTGGTCTTTTGCGTCCAATATTATTAACATTGATAATCGTTTTTTCGCTTTGGCTCAGATCGCCACGCAAGTTAAATGTTGTGTTGTGCACCCCTCCTCCACCCAGACACAGCCAATTAACAAAGTAGCCACGTGATGAACAAAAGTGGCCCACATACTGCTGCTTCAGCGGCACCAGTACTGTTGCTGGAGAGCGATCCATACAAAATCTAACATTGGGGAGTGCGGCGCTTTTTGCCATCAGTTACAACCGGCACCATCAGGCAGTTTCCAGAATTGCAAAAATGTCCTTCAGTCGTTGGCTGTAAATCGGAGGTGCGATGCCATCAATGTGGCCCACACGGGAGCGGAGAGTGACAGGAAGCGATACCTAGGAGGTTAATGTACATATGCTGAAATTACTTGCCACCGTACGTAGCCAACCGTGCTTATGAATTAATGTGTTCACATCACTCAATATGCCATTGCTTCATTCGTAGTTATTCAGACTTCCCGATGATAACCGGAGTGTCCTAAAACAGTCGCCCAGCACGTGGCAAATAAAAACTACATTTGGCCGTGCCGTGTCGGTGGAGGGGGCCTCACGAACATGGACGTGGTCGCTTCGCGATGTTGGGCCTAACCCACGAACAGCGAATTTTCGAATCGTGACGCCGGCTAAAAGAAAAAAGAAGGGAAACTTTCCCTACTCCTCGCCCTACTCACCCACCTTCGCCTGCGACGCCGCCGCCACCACCCCCTGGGACTTGTGGGAGGGTTGCAGTGGCGGGGATAGGCCGGCCGCGGCCGCCCTATCCCCGTCCGCCTGGGGTCTGGACCCCGGGGCTCCCCTCGTTCCGGGACCCCGCGAGTGGGCGTGCGTCTCGCCGGGTCGGGATGTGGCCGGGTCCGGTTTGGTGTCGTCCGGGTCGATCCAGGAAGCTGCGAGGAGAATCAGAGAGAGACGGAGAGACGGAGAGAGAAGGAGAGAGCCAACGGGTACGGGGAGGGGGGGGGGCACAGTGAGCTGCAATGCGATCTGTCGCGGAAAAAACGTACATGAAAGTCTCCAAAGGACTTGTTAGCAGCCCTAACCCTGATTATCCGTCACCGCGCGATTATCCAGCCTCCAACATTATCTGATGCTCCCATGGGCCGATCTGGCATTGTAATTCCGGTGATCGCCGGAAAACCACTCCAAAGGCTGTAACTAGTCCGGCGATCGGCACCATGTGCGTGACAAAAAAAAAATAGCTATGCTTGATTTCAGTTTTAAATATTATATACGGTACATTAAACACTGCATACAACTTAAACAATGAACTTACTACATGTACATACAGTGAGGGAAAAAAGTATTTGATCCCCTGGTGATTTTTTACGTTTGCCCACTGACAAAGAAATGATCCGCCTATAATTGTAATGGGAGGTTTATTTGAACAGTGAGAAACAGAATAACAACAACAAAAATCCAGAAAAACGCATGTCAAAAATATTATAAATTGATTTGCATTCTAATGAGGGAAATAACGAATAAAACAGGACATATACAATCCGATACAGCAAAAAGTGCTATAGTTATTAGTATTACTGTTGTTATTAGTTGTGTAAAATGTATATAGTGCAGCATTTTCATTATTTAAGTGGTCATATGTAGTGTTAAACGTACTGTATAGAATATTTGATACTCAAATCAAGCATAGTTACATTTTTTGTCACGCTACGTGATGCTGCCGATCGCCAGAACTGGGTTACAGGCTTTGGAGCGGTTTCGCCCAGGACCGCCGGATTATAATTAATCGATGATCGACTGCATGTTGAACTTCTTTTGCATGGTACGTGCCAAGCGAACACTAGCTTATACCCCTAACACGAGCCGAACTAACCAACCAAAAGTCCAGCTCTACCCAGACTTAGCTTACGAGCCATCCGGAACGGCAGCCCATCACATAACACTCATGTAGTAGGCAACCAGCAACTAATAGGTATAATAGTGATGATGATGATGTCAACTTAAAACGTGCACCGAACTCGCTACCTCTTTGAAGAGAGTGCGAGGCCAACTCAGACGGGCCAGGAACCAGGGACAAGCGGGAAGGCAGCAGCAGCCACGCGGTCAGCCTGTGCCAAAGTCCTGACCCCCCCCCCACCTCTCCTGTCACACCAAGCTCTGCGGTTCTCTATATATGAAGGTGTTGTCGACCAATTAATGAGAGGTCATACACGTGGGGGGAAACTGGGCGACACTCTATCCAGTTCAGAGCCTTGCCATAGTCCACCACACGCTAGAGACATCACTCACCACTCTAGTCCACCACACACTAGAGACCTCACTCACCACTCTAGTCCACCACACACTGGAGGTCTCACTCACCACTCTAGTCCACCACACACTAGAGACCTCACTCACCACTCTAGTCCACCACATACTAGAGACATCACTCACCACTCTAGTCCACCACACACTAGAGACATCACTCACCACTCTAGTCCACCACACGCTAGAGACCTCACTCACCACTCTAGTCCACCACACACTGGAGGTCTCACTCACCACTCTAGTCCACCACACACTAGAGACCTCACTCACCACTCTAGTCCACCACATACTAGAGACATCACTCACCACTCTAGTCCACCACACACTAGAGACCTCACTCACCACTCTAGTCCACCACACACTAGAGACCTCACTCACCACTCTAGTCCACCACACACTAGAGACATCACTCACCACTCTAGTCCACCACACGCTAGAGACCTCACTCACCACTCTAGTCCACCACATACTGGAGGTCTCACTCACCACTCTAGTCCACCACACACTAGAGACCTCACTCACCACTCTAGTCCACCACACACTAGAGACCTCACTCACCACTCTAGTCCACCACACACTAGAGACCTCACTCACCACTCTAGTCCACCACACACTAGAGACCTCACTCACCACTCTAGTCCACCACACACTAGAGACCTCATTCACCACTCTAGTCCACCACACACTAGAGGCCTCACTCACCACTCTAGTCCACCACGTACTAGAGACACCACTCACCACTGTAGCCCACCACACACTAGAGACATCACTCACCACTCTAGTCCACCACACACTAGACACCTCACTCACCACTCTAGTCCACCACACACTAGAGACATCACTCACCACTCTAGTCCACCACACGCTAGAGACCTCACTCACCACTCTAGTCCACCACACACTGGAGGTCTCACTCACCACTCTAGTCCACCACACACTAGAGACCTCACTCACCACTCTAGTCCACCACACACTAGAGACCTCACTCACCACTCTAGTCCACCACACACTAGAGACCTCACTCACCACTCTAGTCCACCACACACTAGAGACCTCACTCACCACTCTAGTCCACCACACACTAGAGACCTCACTCACCACTCTAGTCCACCACACACTAGAGACCTCACTCACCACTCTAGTCCACCACATACTAGAGACACCACTCACCACTCTAGTCCACCACACACTAGAGACATCACTCACCACTCTAGTCCACCACACACTAGACACCTCACTCACCACTCTAGTCCACCACACACTGAGACCTCACTCACCACTCTAGTCCACCACACGCTAGAGACCTCACTCACCACTCTAGTCCACCACACACTAGACACCTCACTCACCACTCTAGTCCACCACACACTAGAGACGTCACTCACCACTCTAGTCCACCACACACTAGAGACCTCACTCACCACTCTAGTCCACCACACACTAGAGACCTCACTCACCACTCTAGTCCACCACACACTAGAGACATCACTCACCACTCTAATCCACCACATACTAGACACATCACTCACCACTCTAGTCCACCACACACTAGAGGTGTCACTCACCACTCTAGTCCACCACATACTAGACACATCACTCACCACTCTAGTCCACCACACGCTAGAGACCTCACTCACCACTCTAGTCCACCACACACTAGAGACCTCACTCACCACTCTAGTCCACCACACACTAGAGACCTCACTCACCACTCTAGTCCACCACACACTAGAGACCTCACTCACCACTCTAGTCCACCACACACTAGAGACGTCACTCACCACTCTAGTCCACCACACACTAGAGACATCACTCACCACTCTAGTCCACCACACACTAGAGACCTCACTCACCACTCTAGTCCACCACACACTAGAGACATCACTCACCACTCTAGTCCACCACATACTAGAGACATCACTCACCACTCTAGTCCACCACACACTAGAGACCTCACTCACCACTCTAGTCCACCACACACTGGAGGTCTCACTCACCACTCTAGTCCACCACACACTAGAGACCTCACTCACCACTCTAGTCCACCACACACTAGACACATCACTCACCACTCTAGTCCACCACACACTAGAGACCTCACTCACCACTCTAGTCCACCACACACTAGAGACCTCACTCACCACTCTAGTCCACCACACGCTAGAGACATCACCCACCACTCTAGTCCACCACACACTGGAGGTCTCACTCACAACTCTAATGTGAGTGAGTGAATGGGGTTTGTATGTTCTCCTGGTCTGCAAAGTGAGTTTGAGTGATTCGGTATGAGTGAGAGTGAATGAGTGTGTGAAAGTGAGTGAGTGTAATTGTATCTTTGAGTTTGTTTTTTCCCGCTGTTCTGCAGATTGTGACTGAGTGTGATAGTGAGTGTGATAGTGATTGTGATAGTGAGTGTGATAGTGAGTGTGATAGTGATTGTGACCGAGTGTGATAGTGATTGTGATAGTGAGTGTGATAGTGTGTGTGATAGTGAGTGTGATTGTGACTGAGTGTGATAGTGATTGTGATAGTGAGTGAGTGTCATAGTGAATGTGATAGTGAGTGTGATAGTGAGTGTGATAGTGATTGTGATAGTGAGCGAGTGTGATAGTGAATGTGATAGTGAGTGAGTATGATAGTGAATGTTATAGCGAGTGTGATAGTGAATGTGATAGTAAGTGTGATAGTGAATGTTGATAGTGAGTGTGATAGTGAATGAGTGTGAAAGTGAATGAGTCTGATAGTGAATGTGATAGTGAGTGTGATAGTGAGTGAGTTTGGTAATGAGTGTGATAGTGAATGTGATAGTGAGTGACTGTGATAGTGAATGTGATAGTGAATGTGAGAGTGAATGTGAGAGTGAATGTGACAGTGAATGTGACATTGAATGTGATAGTGAATGTGATGGTGAATGTTACAGTGACTGTGATAGTGAACGTGAAAGTGAATGTGATAGTGAGTGAGTTTGATAGTGAGTGTGATAGTGAATGTGATAGTGAGTGAGTTTGATAGTGAGTGTGATAGTGAATGTGATAGTGAGTGAATGTGATAGTGAGTGACTGTGATATTGAATGTGATGGTGAAGGTGATAGTGAATATGATGGTGAATGGGACAGTGACTGTGATAGTGAATGTGGTAGTGAATGTGATAGTGAGTGAGTTTGATAGTGAGTGTGATAGTGAATGTGATAGTGAGTGAGTTTGATAGTGAGTGTGATAGTGAATGTGATAGTGAGTGATAGTGAGTGACTGTGATAGTGAATGTGATAGTGAGTGACTTTGATAATGAGTGTGATAGTGAATGTGATAGTGAGTGACTGTGATAGTGAATGTGATAGTGAGTGACTGTGATAGTGAATGTGATAGTGAATGTGACAGTGAATGTGTTAGTGAATGTGATAGTGAATGTGCTAGTGAGTGAGTGTGATAGTGAATGTGATAGTGAGTGTGACAGTGAGTTAGTGTGATAGTGAATGTGATAGTGAATGTGATAGTGAGTGTGATAGTGAGTGACTGTGATAGTGAATGTGATAGTAAGTGAGTGTGTTAGTGAGTGAATGTGATAGTGAATGTGATAGTGAGTGTTTGAGTTAGTGTGTGAATGAGTGTGCTGTGAGTGAGT